ACCATGATTAACCGATTAACAGGACAACGAGAACAAGTGAACTCGATCAACAACAACAACAACAACAACAACAGCAACAAAAAACGGTGGCCTGGTGAGGCTTAAAGTGCTTAAAGTGATACAATCAGACAGAAAATTGAGTAAGATCGATCGAATGGGTGTTTTTTTTCCGTGGGCGAACAACTCATTCTCGGGCATAACGGGAACACCAACATCAGCGAGTGACACGGTGGACACGGTGTTGTTTGGGGATAATCGTCAAAACAATCACTAGTCACAACTTCTATAAAGAATTTCATTATTGTGAAAAAGTGCCTGCTTCACACTTTGAAAAAAAAATACTCTGATTGAACTCTATTGTGAAGAAATCACAAGCTTCGGTGAGATATGAACACATGAACATTGTTGGGTAAACCGGTGCCTGTTGAGTTACGAGATCACATTTATCGATCTGATCTTTTCTACAGTTAACTATCTATCCAACTTACAACGGCAGTTGAACGCATCACGTAAGCACATGAGAATCCCGAATTACAAACGAAGGTGAACAATGTGACTATCCAAACCAACTTTAGGGACCGGAGGATATCTGGAATTTTCTTATTAACACACTTTCGTGTGGTAAACAGCAGATGAAGTAAATCCCACAATCATAAGGACCTGCTGTTCAGTGATGGGATCCGGTAACCTAAGTAACGGGGCTTGGAGTGGTGAAACACATAAGGCCCCAATATGTTAGGTGTGGTATTGAACCGGAGGACGATAAGGAAATCAGACATTTAACTACACACATAGAAAGCTCATCAATCAGTTTCAGTTTCAGTTTTTACAACCATTAACCATGCATTTTCGTGCGCCGGTTTAGATTGCTATTTTTTGATCGCCCATTTGCATAAAAGAGCAGGATGAAGATTGGAACGTTGAATGCGAATTCAAGCGGAAGATAGATAATTCATATAGACTGGTGTTAAGAGAGGAATGGGTAGATGCATGAGCGCCACTGTTTGCGACACCCAGTCATATCACACAGTGTCTCTAACCATTGGTGACCAGAATATCGGGGTCCCTATCCAGAGAGCCTAACGGGACCTATGTGACCAACCGCTACCTGCCTAGGCGAAAGTCGCTCGCCGTGACAACCTACCTAGTGACATGCAAAGCACATGCCCCAACCAACGTACTCTATGGAAGTCGACTACCTGTTCCAGTAGAAGTCCACGACTACCTAAAACTCTACGCCTAACCTCAGCATTGCTCGTCCGACTACCCCACCAGACTTGTGGAATGATCATGAATACGAAAAATCGATCAGATAAGTAGAAGGTTAAACGAAGTACCAATTAAGAGGAGTTATCGAACGGTGGTTAATCGAATAATTTATCACCCCGAAAGATGTGTTCGAATCCCTTCGTCGAGACCCAACTTGGTCCATTTTATATGCATGACAGCCCTTCAATTACCCGGTTCCCTCATCCGGTAACTTGTTTCAATCATTATACATATATATATTTGATAAAAAGTAGTATGTTAATAGTTGGAAAAATTTCCCTGGAAGTACACGACCGGTTACACGATTCTTGCCGCTCGTCAGGCATGCGGATCTGGTAATCTTTTGCCAATTCATTCAGATACTTGTATTCAGGAAGTGTATTTTCGTCACACAACAACCATGTTTGCAAGAAAAAGAAAAAAAACGCGGGTATACCTAGTACGTTCCAGTTCGATAAGGTCTTTGTATTTTGGACAAAAGCTCGAAGTAAAAGTGCACAAATTCGATTCGATCAGAGTAGCATCTTCAAGGTCACTGGCATGACAACAATGAACAAACAAACAAGGTGAATCCGAAAAGAGGATTGAAGTATTGAAACAATTTACAAAGAAACTAAAAGGTCATTGAACTATTCACGATCTGAAACAGTACAACCGATCGAACAGTCGACTCGATTTGATTGAGATCATGAACTATCTGGCGGTCGCGTGAACATTAGGGAGAAATGATTACTGTTACAGTAACACGCGGGGGAGGAGAGGAGCGACAAATGGGAACAATGCAATGCACTGCAATGCACGGCACAGTGTGACAAAAGAGGCTCTGGATAACCAAACGTTGATCAAGCAGCAGTTAGGGGGGACGGGGGGTGGCGGCTATCACAACGCAAAACAATATAACACATTTAAAGCCGGCACGCATCGCGTGCTCCACAGATGATAACAGCAGATAAAGTGAGAAACAATTAGGCACTGTCAGGTTTCGCGTACAGACAGCTCGCATAAGTATAATCAATCAGATTTGTGGAACGTTGACAAGTCGACATGATCGAAGCAGTTCACACCAATGATTATGATGAATGACAGTATGGAATAGAAACAGAGCACAGGGATGCCATTCTTTTCGATCTTAACTGGCGAGGAGAGGGACCATAGTTGAGTCAGTTTGATTCAATGATCTGTGCAGGTAATATGTGAAGGAATTCACGTGAAATACCAGCGAGATNCATCGATCACAGGAACCGTAACTATCGGTTTCGACTGGAAGATTCACAGTCTGCTATTGGGTTACATTGCGTACCAGTGTTTAAGACCAAAGACAACGCCCAGCTGTCACAAAAATTCATCTATCTATCATGTATCTGGGAGAGTGAACAGCGCGAGAATTAGGACCGCGGGTAAACGTGCCTGGTTGGAGAGAAAAAAGCAGGTTGCTGTACCAAAACCGAATGCATGCAATTAAAAAGGAGGGGGGGGTCAAGGAGTAAACATTCAGGCAGGGTTGTAGATCAACTTGAGCGCAGTGGTTGGCAATTGNGTTTATGCGTCACTTAGTCCATTACGCCTAACTAGTACAGTATCCACAGCCGGTGCATGAAACGCATGGTTACTGAAGTGGAGTGAAATTATCACGTGCCTCTTGTCGCATCGAAAACTTAAGCAACAGAATTTCCCGTGTACACACACAAACACAAGAAAAGGAAGCATCGGTGAAAATCTTAGACATTCGAACCAGAAACCGCGTGGGCAACAGTGGTGATAGCAGTCGAAATAGATGCAGCAGTGGGATCAGAGTACATAGAGACGCACGAACAATAGCAAACGTGAAGCCCAATCACAAGTAGCTCAGAACGCGAGCTGACAGATCCAGCCATATCCTACCTAGGTCAACAAACCGATTAACAAGGCGCTGTGGGTTTACAAACAGGGAAGAATGTACGAATGCGTCACCCAGACCAGAGTGTGTATGGTTCATTAGAGATGGTTTATCTCTGGGGTTTAGAGAATCACGTAGAATCCTGTGCGAATGTGCTGAGAGGATTCTCGCAGATCCACACAACCCATTGCACGCAGAACTAACACGTTGTCGCTCTTATCATTCAACACGCTCACAATTCCGTCAAATTTCATCTCGAATTAATGCTTACCGCAATTCACTAAACCGTATCTTGCTCGTCTACTCATAAACAAAGAGCGAACAATAAGTGAACTTTGTCTTAACCTTAGATTATGAAATGTCCCCATGTTTGTAGAAAATTTTCTTCCCGTTGAGTATGTACATTGTGATGGTTGGTGTACGATATGAGCTACAGTGTTTGCAAAAGTTATACACAATACAATAAAATACAATACGATACGATAGTGTACTCATACAGACAGTTTCATGAAATCCATTCCCTGGCGCATAACCTATCACATCATGAGCTAATTACATGCAAGAGACAACCAACGATGTGCATTCACTCGGGTACATTATTTTGCTTATTCGCGTGATAAAAAACTCATGTACTGAACACCATTCAATACATTTTAATACAAATCTGATTCAGTCATTTGTTCTAGTGGTGGTGAGATCAGTGTTATCCAACGATCATCGTTCAGATCCCGTCTTCCCACGCAATCCGTGGTTCAACCAGTTAAGCATACACCCGAGAAGCATTGGGGTGGAATTTCGCTCTTGTAAATTCTTCACTGCGGTACACAACCACGCACCCGACTGGTATTTCAAGACCGAAACTCATGCATAGAATGTGTATTGGCTCTGTAATACAGCCCAACATTGGTTTTGACCAGGGTCGTGATTCAAATTGATTCAGATGTCATCTTCATCGACAAATAAATCAGTTAATTTGGAGTGACAAAAACAGCGGGAAACACAGTCTAGTATATCAACTAACACTTCAAGCATACCACGAAATCGGATCCTATAAAGGTTTTGGTACACGTCCTTCATCAAACTAGGTCTTACGTCAAATTTAAATGTGCCACAAGTTGGCGATTGCAAGAATGTATGGTCAACTTACAAAGTCATGAGGAATCTACCAATTAGCATTAGGATCAAAAGTGAAAAGGTCATAGCTATCGATGTGGCATCCTAGCTAACTTGGTAGAGTCTACGCGGTACAACGCTGTCGAATTTTGATCCCACCAAGGTTACTGATCGTGTCACAGATTAATCATCGAAAAATGTCATCTTTAAGTTTATGAAAACAGTGTAACAAGTCAGCACTTTGAGCCTAGAATGATAATAAGATAACTTGCGAAGAAGCATAACAAAAACATGCCTTTCGATTTGGAAGAGGGCAGTGGATCTTTGGTCGGATATGTCGCACCACTGACCACCGGATTTGAAGAAGACCAATCCGCTTTCACATAGTTTACAGGTCGAGAGGGCTGACTCAGGTTGTGCATTGGGAACGACCGATGTCGTTCGGTTTGCATCGGTGCGGATATAGTGGGTTGAGATAGACCACCAGCCGGAATACTCGCATCCCGATGGCGGACCGGTGGAGAGACATGCAAGGTTGGATTCCATGTTTCCGATTTGTCCCGAGTTGGTCGATTTCGTCGAGCTTGTAGTTCGAGTGAGCTGGGAAATTCTAAACTGGGCATACTGGACAGGACCGCCGGATTGGACAGCTGCATGGTCGGTGATTCCAGATAACCATTATACCCCATGATTGGGTCTGAACGCAGATTCAATACATTGGAACTGGCATACGGGTTGCACGTGGGCGAGGAATCTGTATGACAGACTCCATAGGGTTCACTACAAGGTTCAATCTGAGCCAATGGGGCTTTTTTCGGTTCAACAGTCGAATCACCGGCTTGGTCATCTCGTTCCTCCTCCTCCTCTTCCTCCTTCTCCTGTTCCTCCTGTTCGGACAGTGAAACGACCTCGGGGACATTCTCCAACCACTTGGCCACGGCCAATTTTTCAGCTGTAAGCAGACTGTAACCTTGACCTGTACAGAGTAGGGGGAATATTTAACACAGGGAGAAATTTCGAGTTAGCTAACGGAACGTGTACGCGGAATGAAAGGAAAAAACTGTGCGCAGTCCCCACTCAAAGGAGTGATAAAAAAGTAAGTCATGTGTTCAGCAGTGCGGAGTAATCTTGTTTGAACAAGACGATAGACTGATTGATTGTACGACGAGCAAAGCGCAACGCGTCTGACACGAGAAAAGGGACGCGTTACGACAAGTTGTCGAGGAGATGATCTAAACATGTGACTTAGGTTTGCAGATTAGTTAAACGGACAGAAAGAGAGACCACAAACAATAATATTAACAATAATAGGCACTGGGTACAACGTTCGCGGTTGGGATCATACTAGGACAAACTTCGAGGTCTCAAATAGACTCCGAAAATGGAACATAGGGGGAACAGAGACAAAAAAAGCAATTGAAGTATAATTAAATCGCAAAATATCCCGTTCCGCTGAAACCCTTCAACAGTGGATTAGCTCATATTCATCATCGTCGAATCCAGTTGGATTGCGTCAGACCAATACTGGTTAAATACATCACACAATCATGGGGAATCGCGGGTGCCTTCACCTTTACACCCCTGTGGTGGTTGAGTGCCGTAAACGCCGGTGTCTGGTGACGACGGAGTCTTAGCAAATCGAGAATCCGACTATTTGGTACTTGCTACCCCTGGTAAGAAGATGAACCGGAACCACGAATGATGATGGCCTGTCAGACACGACTCCCCGAGATAGGTAGAACTCGTGGCATATTGCTGATTTATGTGCCTTGACAAAGGCAAGTGGTGCTAATGCTAAAACACGCGTGGTTTTGGAGTATACATCACAAACAATCTACAATCGGACTGATGACCGAATCGTCAGCGCGGTAAGCCATTCTTGCGGGCAATCCTCACCTATCGTGCATTCTGAATAGAAAAATCAAGCAACGGTTACGAACCTTTTTGCATAAGGCGGAAAATCAACGTGCGAAGCGTTTATGGAACCAGACGCTGTATGAAATGCCCTGGGGAGGGGGGCTTTCTGTGGTAACTGTCATTCGCAGAAAATAACATAAACACGGAGTGCATGTGTGAAAGGAACCAATACAGTGGCACAAAAGAAAACGGAGCTCGCATTCCGAAAGATGTTTTGAAGTTCAAGTTCGATTCCACAGGATCTTCTATGCCTTTGGAGTAAGAGAAATACATGAAACGTGCAACCACCCCTGGGTAGCATTTAGGAGTCGATAAGGCGATACAAAGTGGCGGAAAAGGGAAGCGCTTAAACGAAACCACTTGCTCACTCCACAAAAGGGTGACCAGTCAGTTTCCTATGCAAATAAACCGTCATTAGTTCCATTGATTGTACTTGAGCAGTTGAAATTCATATTTCACTTCATCATAAACGTAAAAATCTATGCATATCGCTAATCAATCGAGGAGAGGTGCAAAGCCGAGCGATAAAAAACGACTAAGAGGAAACACATTCAACTGAACAGATCGGCTAACAATAGAACAACACACGGTTCGACGATTAAACCGCGATGAAGGGTGCGCGGACTGTGAAGACAGTAACTCGTAGGAAACAATTTGCATACAATTTGGACAAGTTCGAGCGCGTGCACACATAGGTGGGGTGTCTGAGTGCATGAGGGTAGAAATAATATCTTACCACTGAAATACACCGCCCCTGCAGTCACCAATGCCGACAAGGCAGCACGCACCGCCTCGTAAGACGGAGGTCGAGGTTGCAGATCGCGATACACGTTGCGCAAACAAGTCATCAGCTTTTCGATAGAACAGCTCGGTTCGATTTGGGTGTTTTGCCAAAGCAACTGGCAAATAACCTCCTCCAAACGCATGGCCATATATTGTGGAACACGTCGCATAAGTAGTCCACCAGCATCCGCT